AGCAGCAGACGCGAGTTTAGTGGCAGACGGTGAACAAACCTGGTAGTCGCAGGTGGAGGTTGCCATGGTTTCTAAGTTAGATTCAATTATGATTTAACCAGAAAACAGGTGACTTTGGGACTCGTTGTTTGCTTTAGTGGAGATAATGAATGGCATGTCTCAGACATCCCGCTTCTATATACCTGCCTGTGTGACACTGAGGCATGGAGTAGTCTGTTGGAGTAGTGGCAAGCTCAGATCTCCCATATATAAAATTGACAAGGATTATCCTGACTTATCCTTCCATTTTGACCTTATCTCACCGTCTTCTCTCACAATGATTGCCGGGAGTGTCGGGCAGGAAACTGTGATTGGCAGGTAGATTATAGATGTATACCATACTGTTACAGTAATATAACCATGTGAAGACAACGCTGAGTAGCCACTCTACTTTGTTGACGGGGTTGGTGGGTTTTAATAATAAATAATTGACTTAATAAAGTTTAGACTACCACACCCCAAAAAACGGTAAAAATAGGGAGTAATGAAAAGTTTTAGTGTAAATAATATAAATGTAATATGTTTTACTGTAGAGATAGATATTTATATATATAGAATATAGAATATATAATTAAGTTTAACTATGGTTGTATATGAACACACAATGCAATAGATACTTATGTTAACAGATTTGGCCAGGACTGCAGGTAGTATTACCAGATGTGAGCGTGTGTATCCGTGGAGTGTGGGATGAGTGTCTTGGACCTTAGGAGTTGAGCTGGCTCAAAGAGGTTAATGACTTAGTGCTACCTGGATACAAGCGATTTGGCGTCGGAGAAGACAATCCATGCTGAGAATTTCGATTTCGAACTTCCCGTTGCCCACTATGGCTGCAGCGGGATAAAACCACTGCGGTGCAACATGTCCGTCTGACCAGCTGTATGAGTGAGTTCAGTAATCCACTGTATTATGTAGTGATTAGTTACTTAAAAAGTCGGTTGGAACAATATTTCCGTCAGTCCAGAGTTTTGCAGCTTGGTGAAATCCCACAAGCAAGGATCGAGGACTAATCAAGGATCATCATTACGAACCTGGGATTCTAACCCACGACTAACGCATCCAGGTACAGCTATTGGAGGCAACTGTACCTTTTTTGGATTGAGACTCATTCGGGATTCGAATCCACACTTCTTGAGTGAGGCACCTAGTCACCAGCACACAAAGTCAGCGATCTAACCCTGTCAGCCACTGTGGCTTCCAAAAATGAAAGTCCGACCACTGGTCGCCAAGATCACGTACTTTGTGTACCCCTCTGACAAATGTAAATTGTCACGGTTCCCATGGACGAAAGCTATGAATACAGAATGCCATGGGAGCCGTGTCAATTTACACTTATATACCAATTTATCCCAAATATAACATTTGGTACATATGACCACTTTCTAAATGGCATTTGGTATTCATAGTTTTTAATCTATTTGGAGATAATTTGGTGTTTAGTAAGTTAGGAATACTGCAATATGAAGATGATATCCGGGTGGGAAGCTCTCTCTACCAAGGCTTATACATGACGAGAACAGTCAGTTAATTTCACTGTGTGGTAAAAAGACATGGTCAGCAGGCTGTGGGTAAAGAAATAAGTCAACTGAAAAAGACTCTCAATATATAAATGTTTATTTGCAAAATCACGCAGTGAAAGCATTTGACATGTCATCACATGTTGTTAACAATATTTACAATGAGCACTAGATGTTCATCAGTGAAGACATATCTTCAGTCAATACATGTCATTTTGTCAGTATTTTCCGTCGTGCTAGCACGATCGCTGGAACGCACAACACTCCATACTAAGTCCACGAGCAATCTGGGTGACCTCGTGGTCATGTGACTGGTCCAAATCAGCTGCTGAAAGATCGTCCTGGTCCTCGAAGTTTTGTCTGATGGCATTGTAGCACTGCTTGACTTGTCTCCACTTCTGTGTGGCCAGTCGTAGGTACACCTGACGGACACCCTCAGCTACACACTTCCTGTTGAGCAGAAGTAACCCATGGCCAACATGGCCGCCATTGGCTGCATCTCTCACGATCTTTTCGGCCAGTTCCAGGATGTAGGCATCTGGAATTAGACAAAAGCTTATTAGTACCTTGGTGTGTCAAAATAATTATTTACACGATATCATAAATGAAGACAGTGATACACACTCATAGGCCAACCAGCGATGTTTTCATGTTGACAATAGCATTTCTTTATAACTCTAAAAGCTAATGTAAATTGTTTGTGGTACAAATATGACATAATGACAAACATAATTATCGAATTTTATTCAAGAAAGAATTATCTTAGATGAACAGCGGTACACACCTATGGCCTGGACTTGTTCGAGGAATCTATCCTGCATTTCAATGAGACTGAAGAGTTGGAAGGAGGCAGACACTGGGTCGTCCTTCCATGAGGCAGCAGCAGACGCGAGTTTAGTGGCAGACGGTGAACAAACCTGGTAGTCGCAGGTGGAGGTTGCCATGGTTTCTAAGTTAGTTTCAATTATGATTTAACCAGAAAACAGGTGACTTTGGGACTCGTAGTTTGCTTTAGTGGAGATAATGAATGGCATGCCTCAGACATCCCGCTTCTATATACCTGCCTGTGTGACACTGAGGCATGGAGTAGTCTGTTGGAGTAGTGGCAAGCTCAGATCTCCCATATATAAAATTGACAAGGATTATCCTGACTAATCCTTCCATTTTGACCTTATCTCACCGTCTTCTCTCACAATGATTGCCGGGAGTGTCGGGCAGGAAACTGTGTGATTGGCAGGTAGATTATAGATGTATACCATACTGTTACAGTAATACAACCATGTGAAGACAACGCTGAGTAGCCACTGATTGCTTGATTGGATAAAGTTCACCTCATTTAAATTATAGCAGGTTGCGGCAGCATCGTATCTCTGTAGTGGCAGCAAGGAATTGATGAATGTGTGATTGATCGGTCAGTATTACAGTGATTGGAGTAGTGTGTTAGCATCATGGTGAACACATTGTTGATATTGTCCCAGCTACGATGACACCTCACAGGAGACTCAAATGTAACTGAAGTCAAAATTATGCAATGATTAAAGATAATCAGATAAACTGATCTAATAATCCTTGTAAAACCTGCATATATGCTGCCATTGATAAATATCGCATATTATAATTGAATGTAAAGATAATAAATATTGTTTATGAATGTAAGATTATAGAACACATTATATTATTTACTCCTTTAAGGAAAACTAAATTCAAATTGGTATGTCACATTTGACTTCACTTGTTAATATGGAAATATGCTGAAACCGTCAATGATGAACAAATATTCTTATTGAATGTAAACATATTGTATTCGTTTACTTCTTTTAAGAACAACGGAAATAAGAATACACATTTACATATATGTTATTATAAGCAACTCTACTCAATGTTAAGTAAGAAGATATTTCATTCTTTAGTTTCAACCACATTACACAACAAGCACTGTGACTTATACACCAGGTTGGTGTTGGGACTGATCCATTACGAAGAAAGGGATGCAATTACAATGAATATGAATCTGATTGTTGGCACACAAAGTGTATTGTGACAACACAGTTGGCGATGTTTGATTAGCACAGCGTTAATTACCTGACATCAGGTGAAAATGTCGTTACACCAAACAGTCAAAATGTACAAGTTGTGATTGGTAAATAAAAAAATAAAAGTATGGACGACAACTTCCTTGTTTACAGGCAATATGTTGTGGAACAGGTGCGTGCACATTATGTAAGTTTGAATTTTCTTTAAGGAAGTAGATATGTTCATCATCTGTAGATACATAATATTATTCTATTTGCATTATAGTTGGAATAATTAACAGCACACATTAATGCATTCATCAATTATATATGTCACCATTGGTGGGACAATATCAGCAAAATTCAAAAGCAAAGCTCCCCCAATCACGTCACCAATATACTTTTCCAAAACATCAACTGTTCCTTGATAATGCATTTATTTACTATTATATAGGCGGTGTTATCCAATCAAACAGTCACTGACAACAAAGTGTTGACAATGCATAGCTTTACCTAGGTGCTGTGTTGCTCCCATTCGCATTGAAACCGGGCGATATGAGAATGTTCCTGTCCATCGACGTATATGTCCTTTATGCAATAACAGTGTGACAGAAAACGATGTACATGTTTTATTGAATTGTCCTGTATATGATGACTTACGTATTAATCTCATTATTTAATATTTCTTTGAAAAATTAGCTTTTAAATGTCCAGTGAATGTCTGCAAAACAATCTTCATCATCAATATGAGTTTTAACGTCGACCCCAGCCCATCTACTTCGTTGACGGGGTTGGTGGGTTTCAAGAATAGATAACTGACATAATAAAGCTTAAACTACCACACCCCAAAAACGGTAAAAATAGGGAGTAATGAAAGGTTATAATGTAAATAATATAAATGTAATATATTTTACCGTAGAGATAGATATTTATATAAGATATAAAATATAAAATATAAAATTAAGTATAACTATGGTTGTATATGAACACACAATGGTTGTATAGACAGATAGATACTTATGTTAACAGATTTAGTTAGGACTGGAGGTAGTTTTACCAGATGTGAGCGTGTGTATCCGTGGAGTGTGGGATGAGTGTCTTGGACCTTAGGAGTTGAGCTGGCTCAAAGAGTTTAATGACTTAGTGCTGGCTGGATACAAGCGATTAGGCGTCGGAGAAGACAATCCGTGCTGAGAATTTCGATTTCGTACTTCCCGATACCGACTATGGCTGCAGCGGGATAATACTACTGCGGTGCAACGTGTCCGTCTGACCAGCTGTATGAGTGAGTTCACTATTCAACTTTACTACGTAGTGAGTTGGTTACTTATCAAGTCGCTTGGAACAATATTTCCGTCAGTCCAGAGTTATGCAGCTTTGTGAAATCCAACGAGAAATCCCACGAGCAAGGATCAAGGACAAATCAAGGATCATCATTACGGACCTGGGATTCTAACCCATGACTAACGCATCCAGGTACAACTATGAGAGGCAACTGTACCTTTTGGGGATTGAGTCTCATTCGGGATTCGAATCCACACTTCTTGAGTGAGGCACTTAGTCGCCAGCACACAAAGTCAGCGATCTAACCCACTCAGCCACCGTGGCTTCCAAAACTGAAAGTCCCACCACTGGTCACCAAGATCACGTACTTTGTGTACCTCTCTGACAAGTGTAAATTGTCACGGTTCCCATGGACGAAAGCTATGAATACAGAATGCCATGGGAGCCGTGTCAATTTACACTTATACCAATTTATCCCAAATATAACATATGTTACATATGACCTCTTTGTAAATGGCATTTTGTATTCATAGTTTTTAATCTATTTGGAGATAATTTGGTGTTTCGTAAGTTAGGAATACTGCAATATGAAGATGATATCCGGGTGGGAAGCTCTTTCTACCAAGGCTTATACATGACGAGAACAGTCAGTTAATTTCACTGTGTGGTAAAAAGACATGGTCAGCAGGCTGTGGGTAAAGAAATAAGTCAACTGAAAAAGACTCTCGATATATAAATGTTTATTTGCAAAATCACGCAGTGACAGCATTTGACATGTCATCACGTGTTGTTAACAATATTTACAATGAGCACTAGATGTTCATCAGTGAAGACATATCTTCAATACATGTCACTTTGTCAGTATTTTCCGTCGTTCTTGCACGATCGCTGGAACGCACAACACTCCATACTAAGTCCACGAGCAATCTGGGTGACCTCGTGGTCATGTGACTGGTCCAAATCAGCTGCTGAATGATCGTCCTGGTCTTCATAGTTTTGTCTGATGAAGTTGTAACACTGCCTGACTTGTCTCCACTTCTGTGTGGCCAGTTGTAGGTACACCTGACGGACACCTTCAGCTACACACTTCCTGTTGAGCAGAAGTAACCCATGGCCAACATGGCTGCCATTGGCCGCATCTCTCACGATCTTCTCGGTCAGTTCCAGGATGTAGGCATCTGGAATGAGACAAAAGCTAAAAAGTACTTTTGTGTGTCTAAATGATAATTTACACGATATCATAAATGAAGACAGTGATACATACGCATAGGCCAGTCAGCGAAGTTATCATGTTGACAATAGCATTTCTTAATAAATCTGAAAGCTACGTTAATTGTATGTGGTACAAATATGACGCAATGACTAACATAATCATAGAATTTTATTCAAGAAAGAATTATTGTAGATGAACATATGTACATACCTATGGCCTGGACTTGTTGGAGGAATCTATCCTGCATTTCAATGAGACTGAAGAGTTGGAAGGAGGCAGACACTGGGTCGTCTATTTGGTGTTATCCAATCAAACAGTCACTGACAACAAGGTGTCGACAATGCATAGCTTTACCTAGGTGCTGTGTTGCGCCCATTCGCATTGAAACCGGGCGATATGAGAATGTCCCTGTCCAGCAACGTATATGTCCTTTATGCAATAACAGTGTGACAGAAAACGATGTACATGTTTTATTGAATTGTCCTGTATATGATGACTTACGTTTGAATCTTATTATTTAATAGTTCTTTTAAAAATTAGCTTTTAAATGTCCAGTGAATGTCTGCAAAACAATCTTCATCATCAATATGAGTTTTCACGTCGACCCCAGCCCATCTACTTCGTTGACGGGGTTGGTGGGTTTCAAGAATAGATAACTGACATAATAAAGCTTAAACTACCACACCCTAAAACGGTAAAAATAGGGAGTAATGAAAGGTTATAGTGTAAACAATATAAATGTAATATATTTTACCGTAGAGATAGATATCTATTTAAATATAGAATATAGAATACAGAATATAGAATATAGAATATAGAATATAGAACATAGAATATAGAATTAAGTATAACTATGGTTGTAATGAACACACAATGCCATGGTTGTATAGACAGATAGATACTTATGTTAACAGATTTAGCCGGGACTGGAGGTGGTATTACCAGATATGAGCGTGTGTATCCGTGGAGTGTGGGATCATCATTACGAACCTGGGATTCTAACCAGCGACTAACGCATCCAGGTACAGCTATGAGAGGCAACTGTACCTTTTGGGGATTGAGTCTCATTCGGGATTCGAATCCACACTTCTTGAGTGAGGCACTTAGTCGCCAGCACACAAAGTCAGCGATCTAACCCACTCAGCAACCGTGGCTTCGAAAAAATGAAAGTCCCACCACTGGTCGCCAAGATCACGTACTTTGAGTACCTCTCTGACAAGTGTAAATTGTCACGGTTCCCATGGACGAAAGCTATGAATACAGAATGCCATGGGAGCCGTGTCAATTTACACTTATACCAATTTATCCCAAATATAACATTTGTTACATATGACCTCTTTGTAAATGGCATTTTGTATTCATAGTTTTTAATCTATTTGGAGATAATTTGGTGTTTCGTAAGTTAGGAATACTGCAATTTGAAGATGATATCCGA